GATTAACCTTCAGGGTGGATATAGCTCGCTAGCAGCCTCGCACCGATGACCTATCCATGTCATCATTTACCCAGAATGCTTTGTGTGTAAATAAAATGGCTCCGTCCGTGTTAAAATGTATTTTAAAAATTTACGAAACTAAACAGCCTTTTTACAGTATTTATTTTACAGTTAAAATAAATGTTTATCAAATAATGTCTGATGTTACAACTAACCATGGATCCCTTTAAAGTAGGTTCCTCCCCTGACAGTCAGATAAATAGCCTATACAACTGTTGGCTCGTAAAGAAAACTACAAAGAAAAAAACTAAACCAAAGTACCTTTTCTTTAACAAATTCACACTTGAGCTCGTTGGAGTCCTTGAAGCCCAGACCGTGGATCTGGACGGTGAGGCAGTCCTCCTGACGGACGTCACACAGAACTTTCTCCAACTGGTTGATCTCTGGAATCTGATCTTCACAACACCAACAAACAGAACAGTTAGAGCTGAGAAATCATCCAAATCCATAAACACCATAAAGTGCTGTGAAGCATATTATGGTTAGATTAATAAACTGAATGTTTGGTTTTACCAGTCAGTGCACTGCAGTCGTACGACCCAAACCCCGTGAAGCAGACGCAGCCCTGCTCGGAGCACTGTCCGTTCCCGCTGCACAGGTTGGGACACCTGAGGATGGCCCGAGCGTCTCGGTGTTCCTCGCCTCTCCTCCTGTCCTCCACCAGCCTCCTCTCACACTCGTTCTCCAGCAGCGGCAGCGTCGCCGTCAGCCACGATGGCTCGTCCTTCAGCTGCAGGTCGGCGACGCACATGGCTACGGCTCGGCTGATCGTCGGCCGCCGCAGGACGAGGCGGCAGCCCGAGGCCGTGCTGGAGTCGGCCACGGATCGCTGGCACTGAGCCCGGGCCTGCTGCTGAGTCAGCCCGGAGGGTGTGGGCCACGTCGGGGGGGCGTCCGGTTGAACGGCGGCTTCGTGGTCTTCTGGGAAGAAGTAGGAGAAGCTCTGCAGGTTAGACTGGCTCAGAGTTGGAGGTGTGGGAGTGAAACCATGGGTCTGACGGCTGTGTCTGGGCTGTTTGTGAGCTCTGATAGTGCCTTGCTTGTGAGTATTTTTACTGGACCGTCTTTGATTTCTCTTCGGCAGCTCCACTGAGCTGATGTACTCGGCGGTGACATCCAGAGAGGGGATAAAACTGGGAAAACTGACGATTCCACTATCAGAACAGGTGGAGGTGGTTTGTTGCTGTTGGGTTCTGGGAGAGGACGTGTGTGGATTGGCCTGACAGGTGCAGTAGCTCTGGGTTTGTGGTGAGCTCAGGTGGTTCGGAACAGAGTCAAACAGGCTGCTGCCTGCAGGGAGTCTGAAAAAGGAAGAGGTCATTTGTTCAATTCAGAATACAGAAAACGTAATTTAAYCAGTTACTGACCTCCATTCAGAAAGAAAAGCCTGCAGCCTCTTCAGCCTAGCGCCCCCTGCTGAGTGGAGGTCATTGTCGGGCTGCCCGTCGTAGGTCCCACACAGACCCTCGGTGTGGTTTCGGTCCGAACTGGGGGCCCTCAGGGTCAAACTCATTCCCCAGTCGGACACATCARCACGAACAAACGCTCCAGAGGGGAAAGTTATCTGCAAAAGTTTCAACATCAAGTTTCAGATAAATCTTATCTGTCGTTTTAACATCTTTATTTAAAATGATCCACTACTGTAACATTAGACTTTATTTGATAAACATTTATTTTATCTGTAAAATAAAGTCAGTAAAAATACTGTAGGATGTTTAGTTTTTATAATTTTTTAAGAATACTGTTCTATATCCCCATATATACGTATTAGCACAGCGCTAGCATGAAAGCTAACAGGCTAAGCTGAGGTTGTTCTTCCATGAAGC